TCAAAATATTAATAAAAACCATAATAGTTTCTTAATACTATACATATCGGGCAGATGCTTTTATCCAGTGACTTACAAAGCATTATATTTAACTAAAACATGAAATGAAATGATCATTAACGGAAATAAAACAAAAAATATATATATTAAAAAAAACTTAAACGCATTTTATTTCAACTAGTTGCAAAGGCAGTATTTCTCATTTAGTTTAACTTAAAAAAATTTCCCATTTTAATAAGCCTCCAAAAAAACTACTATAATATAATGAAATACTCGTGATTTATTCCATTTGTTTTGCTAGCTAATAGTTTTATATAGCATTGAAAACTATTATAGTTTCTCAATAATACTTGAAACAACACTGAAGGTTAAAAAGGACTTTCAAACTAAGTCTGGAAAAAATTATATTTAAATAACTAGAATTAGGTTTGTTTGGGGTTTTTTTTAAAGGGTTTTCTCAACACAAGGTGCACATCACGTGGTTTGGTTTCTTTGGTTGAAAAGCTTTTTTACGAATTGAGGCGTTCACTTAGTCTAGGAAACCACACTGGAAAGTTCACCAGAAAACAGGTCATTTGGACTCACAAACATGGTTTGAAAGCAATCCGGCCTGGTTTTGAGTGAAGTGCTTATGATGACATTTAATTTGCCTGGTTTATTTATGTGCTACTTGCACACTGGAGTCAATTTCTGCTGAAACAACTCACATCCCTTAACTCATCAGTTGCATACATAACACATTTATGTGGTTCAAATCCAATGAAAAAACTAGAAAGAAAGAAAACTGCTCAGCTGATAAAGGAGAAGGCATCTAATCAGATGTTTCTCCTACCGAACCTATGATCTGAGACCTACAGCAGACAGAAGGAACCAGAGAAGAGCTGCTGAGAAGCACACGTCACCTCTCACTCCTAACACACACCAACTGCCCAAACACAGACCGACAGCCAGAGCCGAGCGGCGGAGAGCACATCCACCCGTGGTCTTCCTGAAGACACACCGAACCGGCAGCAGCAGCACCGTGCAGAACATCCTGTTTCGACTTGGGGAACGAGAGAGAGCCACCTTCGCCTTTCCCTCCCACACATACCAGTTTAACTACCCAGACAGGTAAAATGAGCACAGTGCATGCACATCACATTTCCAACAGTTTCAGTATCTCCATAAGTTTAATTACATGTTAAAGTACTCCATTACCTGTTTCCATTCATCTCAGAGGTGTTTTGGTGCAGTGTCTTCTAGAAGTGCATGACCTGCTGCTGCTGTTGTTTTTGGTCCCAAGTAGCTGAAAACTCTTCATTAGTGAATATTCTGGGTCAAAGACAACAGGTGGAGAAAAATATGAGTCTATTTCACCATGGTGCTAACTGGACCAAGCTAATCAATCTAAGGCACCAAATGACAAAGATAAATACATAAAAGCCTCCAAAAAACATCAACTATAGTAATGCAATTAAATATTTACAGTACAATTGATATGTTGCTTGCAAATTGGATTATTGGCATACACAGCTACTTTTGAATGGAGAAAGATTAATTTTGACAGTAAATTAGTTACAGCATGGGGCTAACTTGGCCATGCTAAACATGCTAATGAGTCACCCGAAGACAATTTAAGTCCATTTCACAATCTGAAGAACCTTCATCTCCTATAATATCATAAAATTCTTACAAAATAAGTTGTTTGCAATGCGCTTTGGTAGCATACATGGCTAGTTTGAATGGTTGTCAGTGGAAAAGGATGCATCTTGACTGAAAAACTGGTTGTAGCATGGGGCTAAAGGCAAATTGCTAAAATGGCAAATTGGTTTGTTAGCATACATGTCTTTTCAATGGCTGTCAATGGAGAAAGATGCTTTTTGGCAGCAAATTATTTATAGCATGGGGCTAACTGGACCATCAAAGATTTGTTTAAGAAAATTTATATTAAAAAAACCATTTCCCATTTTAATAAGCCTCCAAAAAAACTACTATAATATAATGAAATACTCGTGATTTATTCCATTTGTTTTGCTAGCATTCACAGCTACTTTGAATGGCTGTAAATGCAGAAAGAAAAATTTGACAGCAAATTAGCTACTGCACTGAGCCATGCTAAGCAGTCTTTATGATATTCCTCATTTAGCTACCCATGCTAGATCGCCAAAGACAATAGTAAACAAAAGCCAATGGATGGCGCCCTAAAATGGACCTTTAAAAACACTGCATATCACTACACTGAAAAAAGGTACAAAAGTTGTCACTGGGGCAATACCCTTCTAAAAGTTAACTAATATGGTACTATTTAGGTACTAATATGTACCTTTAAGACCCCAATATGCACCTTTTAGGGGTAAATAAAAGTTGTAACTTTTTTTGAAAGGGTACTGCTACAGTGACATCTTTTGCACCTTTTCCGAGAGTGTAGGATGGATGGATCAAGTCAGTCAGTCAGTCATTAACAACGTATTCTTGACCTCCCTCTTCAGACCATTAACGACTGTTCAAGGGTTAATGAGCTTTAAACCAAACAAGTTCTTCACTCTCGCTCTCTCTCTCTGTCTCAGATTCAGAGCGGCATTTGTGGACGAGCTGCCCGAGGGTTCATCTCAGTTCGACTTGCTTTGCAGTCACATGCGTTTGGACCTGAGGGAGGTGAGGAAGGTGATGCCCCAGAATGCTGTCTTCATCACGGTCTTGCGAGACCCAATCAAGACCTTTGAGTCAGTCTTTGGGTACTACACCTCCACCGTCCCAGCGTTCCTCACTGCGCATCGAGCTGCCGCCATCGAAGGCAAATCTGCGCTCTCTGTGTTCCTGGACTCTCCGGAGATCTTCTGGGACCCGAAGGAACCTGGGAACGGTCTTGCCAAGAATCCAATGAGCTTTGACATGGGGTTCAACAACCAGAAGTGGAACGGCTCCTGGCCAGAGGACTTGGAGCAACTGGAGGAAGCGTTTCACCTTGTGATGATCGCAGAGCACTTTGACGAGTCCCTGGTTCTCCTGGGGGCTCTTCTCGGACTGGAACATGAGGATTTGGCTTACCTTCGGCTCAATGTTCGTGCCGGCAACAGCGTGACGGATCTGGACGAGAACATGCAGGCGAAAGTGCGATCGTGGAACGTGCTGGACACACTGCTCTACGACTTCTTTGTGCAGGTGTTCTGGGAGAAGGCGTCGCAGTTCGGGATGGAGAGGTTGAAAGTGGAGGTGGAACGGCTCAGGGCCTTTACGGAGGATGTACGACGGAAATGTGTGTCCAGGGCTGAGGTTCCTCCGGGAGAGCTGGAGGACTTGCTGCGCCCATGGCAGACGGAGACGGCCACTATTGTGGGATATGAGGTGCAGGGGAACCTGTTGCTGCAGGATCAGGGGTTTTGCATTCGGATGATGCTTCCTGAGCTTCAGTATCACTCGCACTTGTACTTCAAGCAGTATGGTAGAGATATGAGAGCCGCTCCAGCTGACTGAAGCCTTGGACCAGGTGGGACTCAACGTCTCAGGCCTGGTCTTGGCTAATGGGACTCCATCATCTCTTCACAGAACAAGTCTGGTGGAGTTGAACGAAGATGGAGCATTGCACCATCAAAATGCAAGTCCTAGATAAAACAGGATAGCAACACTCCTTCCCCAAACGGTGGTCTACATCAGTGGTTCCCAACCTATGTCCTGGAGAACCCCAAACAATACACATTTTGGATGTTTCTCTCATCTGACAAAACCATTTCAGTTCTTGGGAATTTTTACTAACAAACTGATGAGCTGAAAAATGTGTTTCTCATTAGGACAGTGGTGTCCAACGATCCTGCTCCTGGAGGGCCAATGTTCTGCAGAGTTTAGCTCCAACACATCTGCCTGGAAGTTTCGAGTGATCCTGAAGACTTTTGATTAGCTGGTTCAGGTGTTTTATTAAAGTTGGAGCTAAACGCAGGTCAGTGGCCCTTTAGGCGCAGGATTGGACACCATTGGTCTACATCGATGACCTAAACATGAAACTGATTGAGAAACATATTAACTTGCATTTGCACAAAGATCTGCACTGCGATAACTATTGGTTATCTGTACGACACTTACAACCTTAGCTGTAAACCATGGCAGGTCAGTGGCCCTTTAGGAGCAGGATTGGACACCATTGGTCTACATCGATGACCTAAACATGATGGAGAAACATATTAACTTGCATTTGCACAAAGATCTGCACTGTGATAACTATTGGTTATCTGTACGACACTTACAACCTTAGCTGTAAACCATGGGTGTCCAATTCTGTTGAGGGTCACTTTCCGGCAGAGGTTATACTGCCTTCACATGTTCCTGGAAATTTCCCACTGCCCAATTTTTAAGTCAGAATTATGAGTTTGTTGCATTTAAGTGCTTTGTTGTTGGGAAGAATAGGAATCATGGAGGACACCAGATCCATTCCTGCCTCTTTCTTGGGAAAAAGCAATAATATTCTGAAGATATTTAATCAGGATCCAATGAATTTTGAATTAAATGCAGCGTCCCATTCTTTGACAACCATATAAATGTTAACTGCACTATTGTATACATTTACCATACTAGATTCTAAAGTTTCAGTCGAATAAATGCTGTTTTCGTAATGTAAAATAATACAATATGCATCAAACGGTTATTTATATACGTAAATATATAGATGGCTGTAATGGCAAGAGAAAAAAAAGTAGAAGCTGTGGAAAAAAAACATACCAGTTACTATATAAATAGTTCTGTCTTCTTGCATGTTCAAAGTTCATGGCTTGGAAAGTCAGGTATCCAAATTATCTACAAGTTTCCCAGTTGCAAATATGACTTGAGAGGCCGTTCATGTCTATTTTCCATTTTGGCTTTACAGACCTCAGTTCAAGAGGGAATTGCAGGGGGTAAATCATAAATTTAAAAAAATTTAATGAAATGAAATGAAATCAAATAAATAATCAATATAAAATAAAATAAATATATCTCAAGGAGTAAAAAACTAATACATTTGATTTATGTATTTATAAAACGATTAGGTTATACTAAGAAATAAAATGAATTTTGAATTGATATTTGTTAACTGATATTGATTGTCAATATGTGATTGTGTTAACAGCAGATTTGTTGCTTAACCAGAGAAGTTAAATTGGTCTGTATAAATCTATAAAGCCCTAATGAAAACTCTGAGAATCAACTCTAAGAATAACGAGAATACAGGAGAATAAACACCTCAAAAGTACTGGTAATGAAAACATGTCATAAGAATTTGGGTAGAAATGTGTGTCAGAACACCAACGACAAAAAAAAGAGGTGATGTGAAATGTTTTACTTTATCTCTGAAAAATTAACATGAAAATAAAAGCTCTCCATTTATACAGTAGTTAGACAAACAGCAAAGCGCATAAACAGAGACTAAATCATCTGCACCTCGTCCGTCCGAGAGCCTCACTGTCTGCTGTCATTAGCATCACACCAAACACATGTAATCTGCTTAGCCACCTGCTCAGCGAACTCGTCACATCCTCCTGTATGGTGCCTTTACACACGACAACTACAGAAAAACAAGAAAATAACAGCAGCAGTCTGTAAAAAAGCACCTACATTCACCCACGTTCTGGACACACAAAATAGTCCAGCTCTCCTTGACATGCCAGTGAGTGTGGCAGTCTTGATCACATGACTGAAACTGGAGGAAGTACTGGAGCACCAAACAGGAAACAGAGTCTGTGCGTCACAAGAACACAAACTCCTCCAAACAGCTCTTCTTTTTGATTCGGCCCGGCCTGTCTTTGGACTTTATATGAGTGAATGAGTCTGACGTACAGCTCATCTCCTCCTCATTATGACCCTCCACAAACGTGAAGATGGGGTACTTCTCCTCGGATGATGTCAGAGCCTGTCCATCAAAGGAAAGATGGAGGGAAAGTCTGATATTGCAGGATTTTAGACGCATAATATATTCAGACAAGCTTCGGTTTTGTAGCATGTGCTTGTCTTCCTCTCACCTTAGTGACATCTGAGCACAGAGCCTGGAAATCCGCTCTGCTTCCGGCGTAAAAACCCACCGTACAGCTCGGGTCCATGCGGTTAAACGGCATCTTCCTGACAGTTTTACAGTGAAACGACTGCACCGAGAGACAACAAACAGGGGCATGAAAATATTCAATTCAAATTTATTTGTATAGCGCTTTTTACAATGCATATTGTTTCAAAGCAGCTCTGCAGAAAATGCATGTTTTTGAATATTACAATAAGTCTTCTCTAATAATATGAAACTATAATATATACTATATACTAATATATACTAATATATACTCGCCTATCATTCATCGACCTCATGGCTTATCATCTGAAATATGTTAGTAGCAGCAACTTTACATGGCCGCTCAATCTGATGTTAATCTAGAAATATGTGCATTGTTCAAGTGTCTGTGCACAGTGTGGAAACTAGTAGTGCTCACTGCATGGCAGATGGCTCACTTGCTCTTAAAGTACTCCCTCATTTTTGCTCATACAGATAAGAGCATTACATCTTTCAAATATGTAAAGACTCTACGTTTAGTTGAGTGCACTCACAATAACAACAAAACATTGCGCTTTTGTAAAATAATGAAAGCAAACAAGATGCGCTTTCTGCCGTCTCGGTCTCTGTGAACTTGAGCACGAAACTCCGAAACTCTGTGTATGCTTGCCTTACAAACATAAAAAATATAGAGAGAGAGTGAAATGTCTACTTTCAAATGAACTAATTTCAATGGAAAACAAATATTCTCAGATTATGTATGAAACATGCATACAGGCACATCACTACTGTGGAAATGACGAGTCAGTGTCGCTGACTTCATCTCTTAAACCGAGAACAAAAAAAGCACTAGTTTATCAAATTATATTAAAATGTTAATGCAGCCACCTTACTGTTTTTCCCTGACACATTCATAATCATTACTTCTTCGGTGTGCTGTGGCAAGCTTTATGCTTGTGCTTGAGCGCTTATTAGGCTATGTAGGCAATTAAAGGCTCATTGTAATGATTTAAATAGTTTATTAATAAACGTGTAATTAGTCGACTAATGCTTCAAATGAATGACTACTAGTTGACCAGAAAAATCTTTAGTCGAGGGTAGCTAATGTGTATGTATAGTTTTTTATTACATTGTATTTCAGCAAATTTTAATTTAATTGAAAATGAGAAATGTTGCCTTGGTAACCAGTTAAAATCAAATAAGATTTTTTTTTTTTTCATTTTAATTAATGAAATTATTTAAATTTTAGTTAACTATAACCCTGTATTCAAGTGGAGGCATTTATATACTTTTATAGTTTTGATTAATATTTTGAATCAGTTTTCATTTTTATATTTTCCATTTTAATTATAATTTTAATTAAAGTTGTAAGCAATTTTGTTCCGTGTTTTTGTCATTTATATTAGTTTTTTTTATGTATGGTATGTAGAGGTCTTGATTTCTATTTTAGTTTTTGTTTTAGTCATTTTAGTACTTTAAACAAAAATAAAAATATGTTGACTTGGACACTATCTGAAATAAAACAGATTTAAAAAATAATAATAATTAAACTGTATCTTATTTAAAATAAAAATAACCAAACACAGACGTCAAACAGAAGCACTGACATATAACTATAGTTTATTTTCAGTTTATATTTTTATTTTCTGTATTGAAAATGTTTTATTTTAATTTTGTACTGTTTTTGCCATGTACTCGTTTTTTTTCAATGTATAGTTTTTATTAATTATTCATTCAGTTTTTGTTTTAGTAATTTAGTACTTCAACCTGAAAAAAAAAATACTAACTGAAATAAGTTTATTGTATTTTATATTAGTTCAATTAATGTTTACTTTTTCAAATTAAAAAAAAAAAGTTTTTTAATAGTTTTAGTTTTAGTTAATTATAATAACCCTGTAAAAGAGAAACGGAGGTGTTTATCAGTATGTTCATTCAGCTCTTTTTCATATTATGAAAGCAGATGGTGACCAGCGGCCGTCAAGCTCCAAAAAGAACAAAACAATGTCATAAAAATATGCACAAGTGCAGTATTTAATAATTTTATTTGGACTTTGATAGTCCCCGGTTGCTGTATGTATGACATTTGGATGTGGAATAAATTGGTTTTCAGGCAAACTATCCCTTTAAATATGGGCTCACCTCTAAAGGGAAGTTGTCTTGTTGGACGTCTACAGCAGCTTGACAGTAATGAGGATCCAAATAGATCAACTGATCATCTGCATGAAGCACACAGAAAACCACAAACACACAGACGCTGAGCGATTCGTTACACATTACAAACACAAACGCACGTCATGTGACTCACCCTGGAATCCCACGAAAAACAGCGAGTGTTTGGGTTTCCCTCCAATGATTCCCATGCAGCATTGCAGCTCTAGCAACCTCTGCGGACACAGAGAGAGAAAACATGAGCTCAGACCATCACAACAACATCACTTCACGTCTGTGTGTGTGTCGTAACACACCTTCACACATCGGGTGTAAGCCGGATTCAACATATCAGAGCCCAAACGCACAGGCACCAGCAGAACCAGCGACTTCCAGCCAGACCTGCACCTCGCTGACAGATCTGTACGGGACGTCCCACACAGGTTTAACACGTCTCCAACATACACTACAGAGAAACGCAGAGATTTAGTGCTGAGGTGTTACAGCCTGTACACAAATGATCCATGATTATTGCAGTTCGTGCCAACTTTGCAGGTAATTTTCTGCGAAAATAAAGACCATGTCCAGATGAGCACAAAACATGGGATCTAAAACGGACCAGGATTCATTGCTAAAACATGACTGACTGACCTGTGCAGTTCTCCGCCACGTACACTGCCAGATCGGACACCTCGGACGCTGCCACGGCCTTCCTGAAACACACAAACAAACGAACATTTACCTTCAACTATCACTGAAAGGACTCTATATTTACATGCAATTCAATTTATAATATGAACATTAATATATTAATGTTTTTTTCTTATGTTGCATATGACATTACTGAAATGTATAAATGGCAGCAATACACCATGAAATGCTTTGCATTACAGTGATTTTACCATAACATTAGCTAAATCTAAAAATACTAAAAACATTTATATTATTTCAACATTAAAGGTCACATATTGTACACCTTTCTGGAGTTTTATTTTAGGTTTTGATGTCCTTAAGAATATATATAAGAAATAAAATATAATATTAACATTTACTTAATTTGACAAAAATATAAAAACCTTCTTATGTCAGTCAGTCACAAAGTGAAAACTGCAAATTTTTATTTAGTCTTACTTAGTACTAAATTTACTAATACTACAACTGAAATAAAAATGAATAAAAATTGCAATAAAAATTAAAAGCTAATGAGACAAATGACTAAAAAGCAACAAAATTGCTAAAACTTTTTTTAAACAAAAAAATTAATAATTTTTAAATTAAATTCTTTTTTAAAAACAAACTGCAATAAAAATTATTCAAACTAAATAGACATACAGTATTTAAAGAAAACTAATAAAAATAGCTAAAACAACAAAATTGCTAAAATGTTTACTAAAATTAAAATGGAATATATAAAAATAAAATGAAACAAAACGAATGTAACTAAGTAGACAAAAAAATTATAAAAATGTCTAAAACATTGCTAAAACTTTAAAATTAAAATGAAACGTCCAATCCCAACTCAAGGAATTTACACTAAAATTAATTATTCACTAATTAATTGCATTTATTAACAATAAAAATCAATAAAAGTAATTTGATCAGTGTAACGAACAAAGATCAGTCTATTATCTAATGTTTAGTGCATTAAAGGGTTTGTTCACCCAAAAATGAAAATTCTGTCATTAATTACTCACCCTCATGTCGTTTCAAACCCGTAAGACCTCCGTTCATCTTCAGAACACAAATTAAGATATTTTTGCTGAATTGTATGAATGAGAGCTCTCTGACCCTCCCATAGACAGCAAGGATCTTTACACGATCAAGGCTCAGAAACGTAGCAAGGAGATCGTAAAAGTAATCCATGTGACATCAGTGGTTCAACCGTAATTTTACGAAGCTACAAAAAAACTTTTTGTGCTCAAAGAAAACAAAAATAACGACTTTATTCAACAATTCATCTCCTCCGTGTCACCCTGGCGCCATTTTGGAGAGTATCCATAGCGTAAACAGGTTACGCTATTCTGTGTCAGCTGCATCACCCCTGATGTCACATGGATTATTTTACCGATCTCCTTGCTACGTTTCTGGACCTTGATCGTGATAATTACATTGCTGTCTATGGAGGGTCAGAGAGCTCTCAAAATTCATCAAAAATATCTTAATTTGTGTTCCGAAGATGAACGGAGGTCTTACAGGTTTGGAACGACATGAGGGTGAGTAATTAATAACAGA